TTTATATAATGAAGCTCTAAATGTTTCCCTAGTTCTTTCTCTAAACCACCTGTGCAAATGCTAAATTAGCTCATCAGTAAATGTTAACTATGATTCACTGAACTAATGATATATCAATTAGACAGCTAGTAAGTGACAGACACAGACGCAGACCTTGGAAATATCACAAATACGTTTTTGCTTTGTAATCTGGAGTCTCTCTCTCTCTCTCTCTCTCTCTCTCTCTCTCTCTGTGTGTGTGTGTGTGTGTGTGTGTGTGTGTGTGTGTGTGTGTGTGTGTAGGGAGAGGGAAAAGGAGTGGAAGAGGGAGAGGAAGGGTTATTGGGGCACTGATAACACAATTTCTTCAGGCTAAATCTGTTTGCTGCTTCCCTTTTTGGGTAAAGACTTAATGAATTACAGTCTCATGGATTTATTTCTTCATTGTTTGCAACTGTTCTTTGTTACTGTGGCAGAGAAAAATACTTGCCCAAAAGACTGAAACTTTCTCACCTTATGCTCTTTACTGTTAAGTCCATATAGAAAAGGCTTGCCAACCTCCTCTCTAGGAAAATAATGTGCCATAGTAAAGTTAAATGCCCTGTGGAGTGCACTTTGTTCAGTAGGGCAAGGTGCTTAGGCTTGAAGGGAAAGATTCGGGAGGGCATGGTAGGAAAGCAGGCTTGATCATATCACAGCAAGGACACTGGCTTGTTCTTGCAGTAAGACAGAAAGCCAACAGAAGCCAAAGTAGAGTGGTGTAATTTGATTTTTGTCTTAAAGGGGAATCCCAGTTTATCTTTGCCATTTATATCATCTTCCTTGTAATGCTCAATCTTTCATTTCAAGAAACATAAGCTACTGAATTTAATTCCTGGTTATTTCTCATTCTTGCATATAAATGGTCCTTGGTTCAAAGAATTCTGAGGATCTGGAGCCAGAGTAAAGCTTCAGTCTGCACAAGGGCTTATTAAAAGCCATGCATTACACAAAACGGTTCTGAGATTTACCATAAGAAGGTCGATCAGCATTCAGCATACTACACAAAGGGCATCCCAAAAATTTGTTTCCCTGTTTGTGTACATTTTGCTCATTTCAGAATTGTGTGTACCAAATGTTGTTTCATCAGCTTGTAAACATCATATGCACATAGCCTTTAGGGGAAATGCATTACTTGTTATTTTTAAACTGTCTTTTCTCATGTGAGAACACGTGTGACAAAGCCATGGTCACTTTCCCTCCATCACACGTATTAAACTGCATTCTCCTGATCTTGATTTCAAGCTGAATATCTTTGGGGCCATTCAGTCACACAAGACATTGCAGTCATTTTGAAGATGTTCTTTGTGCTGCAGACAAAATTTTGAGCTATTTCTCTTAGGCATTTCCATTATGAATATTGTACTCTTTTGCAATTTGTCTTATCATCCATGAGGAAGGGTCATTGACTATGAGGTTACTTTCCAGGCCTTTCTTTTCTTAGGTAGTTTAGTTTCTGTGACATAATGCAGGTAAAAGAATTCAGAGACAAATTGGGGCAGATAGTCAACATCTAACATGAGAAATAATTTGATGCAGAGCTGTTTTCCATAAAGCTTTTGCAGTTGTACTGATCAAAGTGTGAAATTTTTACTGTTTTGTGAGCAGGTCAACTTGGATAGTATAGATAGCTTCAGATAAAATAAATCCTAATGATATTTTTAAGAGCATTAAAATGAATAAGTGGTTGTTATTCTATTTTGTGATTGATGAAAACAAATATTTGTCTTATGCAAATTATGCATTTAAAAATAAATCGGTTTATATATATATATATATAAATAAATGTTTGAGGCACAGGTTAAAATAATTAAAAATAATATGTGGCAGACATATAATTTAGATTCATCTGGAAAATTGCCTTGATGCTTAAACTAGGACACCAATATATCCTTAAAAATATCTTTCCAAAGCAGTTAATATGGAATTTTGTGTTGTGCTTTGATTAGAGCATTTTTATTTGATATTAATGGAGTAAGTGAAATGTAAAATTATATTCATTTAATCTGTATTGGCAATTTTGCTTTCTGAATTTGGTACTTCTGGTCACTGGTAAAGATGAAGAGCTTAATGCTAACACTGTTGGAAAGGTTTTGGAATATCTCCAGCTAGTCTAGTTTGCAGCAGCTATTCAGGGATAAGGTATTTAAATACACCATAAAAACTTCCAAGTGGAAGTCATTCTGATGAACTTTTAAAAGGTAAATGGTGGAACTCAAAAACATTTTTTAAAAACGGCATTCTGTTGTCTGAGAGCTGCAGGAAGAGATGGGTACTTCATGGGATTTCTGTGTTGGGAAAAACTCATGTGACTCTGCCAACTGGCAAAGCATTATTTTTGTAGTATTATTATACATGCTTCCAGAACATTTTAGGCTTGGTGGGCATGTGGAAATCCCATGAAAACATAATCTCTTTCCTCTAGCCAAATTAATCATTTTCTCCCCAAATTGCTTGTGAACAGAGGTTTTTATTACAGCAAAAGAAAGGAAAGTTGGGCAGTTTCCTTTCTGTGATACTTCTAGAGTCAAGTACATTTGAGGAGGGATATTAGTCTCAATTTTATATTTTGCCAACGAAGGAAAAGATTGGGGAACAATGTCAAAGAGCATAAAAAGAAGTTTTGGTAATGATGCAAAAGGCATGGCAGACATTTAACCAGAAATAGGTTGTCTGAAGTGTCTTGTGCAGAAGATATCCAATACTATACTATTCATAACAGTTTTTCTATTATCAGCTTTTGAGAATATGTGTGTTGAGCCCTTTTGAAATTACAAACTATTTGAAGTTAAGTACTTAATCTAAAGTCACAACAATGACAGCTAAGCTTCAAAATTCTTTGCTTCAAAATTCAAAATTCTACCCACTTTACAATGTCCTTTTCTGTAGAAACAATTCAATAGTTAAATAGGTTTCAAAGCTATAAACATTAACTTATGAGGGAACATCTTGAGAATAATATGATACATATCTTTAGTTATGGAAAATTTGCAAAAGTTACAATGAGTTCACTTCATTTCCCTTAGGTTCTCAGAATTTTTCTTTCATTTTAGGTCCCGAATCCGATGGAAATCGGGATGGGAAACAGGAACAGTGGATCTTCAAAGTTTCATTTCATTGTCAGATTTTATTGCTCTTGGGTGGCTTGGAAATTTTCAATGTCTCAAATATCCCGCCCAGTTTTAAATTTTGTTCATATTGATTACTACTGATCCCCCCACCCGCCTTATCTCTGGTAGAGTTTTACCACATAACTCTACTGGAACTTGTGGAGTACATGCTGGCTGTCCAGCCTATTTTGCTTCTTCCTCCTGAGTGCTAGGATTGTAAGGGTGTGTCACCCACTTGACCTATTTCTATATTTATACATGCAAAAAGTATCTTGATTACTATGAGCATCAAAAATATAAGAGCTCTCACCCTGTCATGTTCAGCAAGCAGCAGTTCACAGCATCCCTCATTATCTGCCAATTCTTATATTCTTTCTGCTTCTTTTATAATGTTCGTTCTTTGGGGGTGGAATGCTAAAAAGAGTAAGGAAGGAACTGGAGGATATGTATGATTATTTTTCATTGTGTATAAAATTCTCAAGAATTAATAATATAATAAAAAGAAAATAATATAACTATATAAATGATTCAAGTTTATGAGGCAGATCACTTCTGGATATTTAAGTTATTATTGCCATATAAATGGTTTACATTTTAATACAGAAAATGAAAGACACTAGATAACATAGTGGCACACTTATCTTTATTGAAATTGACCAAATGCTTTTTTAAAATAATCCCTTTAACAGCACATGTAAAATGTAATTATTTTCATATATTTTTACAGGTTGTTTGTTGAGTAAGCAAAAATACATCTTTTTTTTTATTTTTTTCTTACTTAAAACATGTAAGCCAGGATTCAAACCACGTAGCTCTGGTACCAAAAAGGCAACGGGTTATGAAAATCACAGTACAGTTTTACATCTTTTAAAGTTAATCAAGGATATTTAAAACGATATTCACTTGGATTGAAAGTAGAAATTACAGGTCAGTCAACATTAGGACAGTAGTTACAGCTACAATGAGAGCAGAAACGGGAAGTTCAAGCTGATCTGAGCTACATCATTCAGAACACACCACCTCCATAAATACTGTGGCTGAGCAGCTGCAATAGCTAAGTTACACTTGGGCACTTAAAGTCACACTTAAATATAGCCAAAGTGAAAAAATATACATAGTAGGCTAAATTGATCTAAAATAAATGAGCATTTGTTTTAAGAGAATATACTGGTAAATCAATTACACAATGCACAATGAAACCCCCAATTTACATCTAGGGAAAAAATTATATCAAAGTGCACACCTACACAGACAATAGAGTAGAAATCTGTTCTTTGTCGTATGAGTTTATTTTGTTGTTGTGTTCTGGATTAAGTAGAAAGAATTTACAACCCACAAAAGGATTTCTTGGGTGAAACACTAATTACAGACATTGTAAATATCATAGCTCAGGAGGCTTGTTTTAAAAACGAGGCAGCATTTTCCTGAAAAAGTTTGGTCCTCAATTTACTATAGACTAGTCACTATGGTCAGATGGTAAGCACTTCTCTCTCTCTCTCTCTCTCTCTCTCTCTCTCTCTCTCTCTCTCTCTCTCTCTCTGTGTGTGTGTGTGTGTGTGTGTATGTGTGTGTGTGCATTAAACTAACTTTTCAATACCAGAGTTCATCAAAACCAAATCAAACATAAGATAATAATCAGCCCTCGAGAATTTGACTTTGCTCATCATGTCTGAGTGATGTGTCATCTGAAATAACAATGCTAAAGACTATGGATGGGAGTTATGCTCATGTGATTCTGCAACATCTTAATTTTGTGCAGTTTTCTTCTTTGCCCACAGAACTTGTCTTTTTTCATGTAGGTGTCAGAATTCCCACCCTCATGATCTCCCTCCCCCCTCCCTCAATATTCTTCTCTGTCAAAGTGATATAAAGACAATATTACTGTATATATACAAGCACAACACTTAGGCAGGAAGGTTCCAGGATTAATAGGGTACATCTATTTCTTGTGAACATCTTCATGCCGAATGATCTTATATGTGATCCAGTAAAAGATATTGAATATGAGGAAGGCCAGTGGGAAGGCAGCTCGAGATATGGTGTCAATCCTTTTTGCCCGATCCACAAACTTCTTCTTGATGGCATCTGCATCTTTTGGGGGTTGTGGAAGTGGGTTGGCAGGTGTAGCCTTGACAGCTGTGCCATCTTTCACCTGGAGGCAGTGACCCATCCCATAACCACTGAAGTTAAAACGACTTTCACGAGTAACATCTTCTTCCTGAGAGAATAGAGACAGGAAGCAGACTGTCAGTCAAATTTGATGGAAGGTTCTTAAAATTCTTTAGAATTATAACAATAAATTATAGTTAACTATTGGTGTAGGAGGTTCTTGAAATAGGGAGTATTCTTTTGAGTTCAATTAAGTTATTCATAGTGCAGATATAATTCATTAACTTTTAAGGCAGAGAATTTAAATATAAAAATAATGATTGTGATCATTTTAGTTAATCAACAAACAGTAAAACCTATGCTACATTCAGTATTGACTTTCCCAAATCTTGATTAGACTATTTTAAAACAAGTTTCCAAAATTCTAGTATTATGTTATAAATGTATGAAGAGTGATATTCATTCATTCATTCATTTCATTCATTCTTTTTCTTTCTCCAAAAATACTTTTACTGAGTTATTGTTAGGGTCTTTTTTCATGGTATATCCATGGTTCTGTTCTATCATTAACATTTGATTTAAGATGAATCTTTAATAATACACTGTTTTCCCTTGTTCCCTCATTCATTTCAGCTATATAACAAAGATTAAATATTCATTATTTGTCATGTATTTCCAGTATTAGTTTTTAACTTTGATCTTTGGCCAGTAAGAATCTTTACCATATTTAAATATACCATTTTCATCAATGCCAGTGATGCTTTATGCTGATTATTTCTCCATAAATTGGATTCAAGGCAGAAAATAGTTTTTATTACTTGATGTGAAAGGCAAATCACCTTAGAGACAACTGGGATCAGAGTATAGAGTTGAATCAAATGGGGGTGTCAAATTGTAGAGCTTAAAAGATGTGATTTAAATGACTTGCTTGATACAAATGTATCTTTCTAAATAGCCACTGATCAAATTATCTTCTGTTTTAGCTTGCTGCTTCTTATAATGCTATGTAATCTACTGCACTTCTTAGATTACCTGATAATGATAATGGTACATTTCCCCTAATACAAGAATTTGGTATTAATATTACTCCATCATTGTTAACTTGATGCCTATACTACCTTCAGTCACATATTAAAAGTGTGCCAAATAGAGAACTTTGAAATAATATGAATATAAACTCATCTGTATCCCAAATAGAGTGAGGAGGACAAATTGTACCTAGTGCATTCAAATGATGTTTTAAAGTCACAGGAGGACCTGGATAGGTAAAGGAAAACAAGAGTGGGTATTTTAGTCTACTTCATTGAGTACATAATGAGGAGAGAGATGACAGTGCATTGATTAAAGAGACATGTAAGCATTCCAGAATAGTTAGGGTAAATTATAGTTCATGTGTTCAGATGGGCCATTGAAGAACTCAGGAAAGAGAACAGATTGACTTCCATGTGTATTACTTTGCCAGATTAGTACCCACATGCTACTTCCCTCTGTGAGAAATACATGCTGCTTGAAAATGATTAATAGAGTTCAGTAGAGTTCTCACAGCCTTGTTTTATCAACATTTCCCATTGTGATAAACTGTCTTTGGTGAGAAAAGTCCTAAACATGACTGAGTATTGTAATGAAACCTGGTAATGACTTAGAATTTGAGCTATAGAGATGGTAGTTGAGAGTTAGTCACTTCATGTACCATGTTCCATATATATCTTGTCTTCAGGAAAATCAGACTAGGTAATGGAAGGCACATTCAATTGGCCTTATATTGACTTATATTTATTTTATTATTGCTTCAAAATTTCAGACATGAGTCCTCTATTTTCACCTTATAATTTCCCACTATAACTTCTACCACAACCTGGTCTCAAATACATGGCCTCTTCAATTGCAATTGTTACCTGTGTGTGTGTGCATGTGTGTGTGTAAAAAGAGCCTGCTGATTCTATTGAGTGCTTCTTATATGTACATGTTTAAGACTAACCATTTGGGATTAAGTAGCTTATCAGGGGGCATCCATAAAGAACACTAATTCCCCTTATCCTAGCAGCCATTAATTGATGGTAACTTTTCATCTATGGCTGAAGCCTTGGGAAATTTTCCCTATTCATCTTGACATATCAACTAGTGCTGACATTGTACAGGTTTGTTTAGGTGGCCAGTTTTAAGATTTTTATGGGTGTACCTCCCTGTCATATATAGAAGATTACTATCTCACAGCAAATATCCTGCTCCTCCAGCTCATTAAATCTTTTTAATACTTCTTGTGTGATGTTCCCTGAGCCTTAGGAGTGGTGGTTGTGCTGAAGATATATCAGTTGGAGCTAGGTCACAGAACCTCAGAAATTCTTTTGATAAGGACCTCAAGTAGCCACACCAGGCTAGAATTCAGGAAGGAGATTTGCAAAATCCTCCTTGTTCTCTCTTCTTATCACTCCAGACTTACTTCTGTAGTAGCCTTCCTGTAGGAGAACCTCCTCTCACCCCACCTTCAGTTCATGAGAAATGCACCTCTTGATGCAGACCCAGACTCTCCTTAGCTCTTTCAGAGGCCCCTCTCAGACTTTCATCCTAGCTCATCTCTATTCCTTTTTGTTACTCACTGATCCAAAGAAGCCCTCTCTACTAGGGACCCCATAGTCTCTACATTTGCCTAGGATTCAGAGCAGGTAATAGCAACCAAAGAATGGAACACCCCCCCAACAAAGACAAGACTAGATACTAACACCACAAAACACTTCAAACATAGTAACCCCAAATGCATAGATCCTAGTACAAAAACACAAACATGAACAGCAAAGACTGTCAGAAGTCTGTATCTATTGCAGTAAGTCCTGAGAAATTAAATATAGCTGAAGTATAAGAAAAGAACTTCCAAATAGCAATAATGAATATGTTCAGGGATGTTATAGAAGATGTGAGTAAGTTCCTGAATGAAGTTTATAAAAACACAGTTGAAGTAGGGACTAGGACTTCTCTCCTGTCTCTAGGTTAAGGCAGTATCCCTCCATGAGGGATATGTTCTCATGCTCAAATGACCTGTCAGATCTACATGACCCCACCAGAATGGCATTGCCCTACATGTGGAATTGAGGTGGGGGATGGGAGGGGAGGGTAGTCAGGGTGCATGTGAGGGGGCAGAGAGGGTAAGAGGGAGAGGCAACTGGGATCAACATGTAAAATAATAAATGAAATAAAAACAAATAAACAAACAAAAATCACAGTTAAATGAAATAATTAAAACAGTTCAAGACATTAAAACAGAATTTAACAAAGAAATTGGATCACTAAAGAAAACTCAGGCTAAAATAAACCTCATAAGAAAAATTTAGGATGTCAAACAAAAACTTTAAAGTTAAGCCTCACCAACACATTACAAGACAGAGAAGAAAGACTCTTAGGTGTTGAAGACAAAGTAGAAGAAATGCGTAGCTCAACCAAAGAAAACATTAAGTTGAAAAATATGTGGAATATTTAATTGGTTCAAAGTTTCAAATGAATACTCCAATAATATGGAATGAAAACGTGTTAACCATCACAGAGCTGTCATTAAGTGTCTGAAGACTTATTTCATGCAAGAAAGGGATCACACAGGTTCTTAAGAGGAGGGGACTTAATCTTCATACTGGTTAAAGGCAACATCAGATTTTCTAACTACTATATTTTATGGCAGGGAAAATAGAGACAGTTTATTTAGACAGGGAAAACATTCCCCAGAATGAGAGTGGGCTAGTGAGCAGGGAAAAGGTATCCACTAAGATGTGTCTAACTACCATTAACTGGCATATGATTAGTGTAAAAATGCTATAGAGATCCAGCCTAGGAATTTGGATACTTGTGTCTTAGATTTAGCTTGGAGGCTTATAAACTATGTTGATGTCAGGCAATGTAGTTATCATTTTATTTATCATGCCAGAAATTTGAAGAGTACACTACAGCTGTGGATCTCTTTTATGGCTGCTTAAAATTTTGAATATATGCTTGTATCTGATTCTTATCCCATTCCGTTCAAGATCAGTGGGATTAGACACTCTGGGAGTAAAAATTTAGAATCTGTAGGTTTTAACATTCAGTGATTCTAATGTAATATGTTTAAAACCACTGGCTTTGATGAGTTCTAATGTCAGTCTTTAAAATATATAACCATTTCTTCATTATTAGTCTAAAAATAATATTCAAATGGAAGTAACACTTTACCATATATTTTTTTTCGATCTTCCTAAACTAAATGTGCTTTTCTTCTTTCCATGAATGCAGAACCTTAAAATTCCTATTCTCCCTTTCAAGGGCCATCTAGAAATTCACATTTAAACATATACTACTGCTTGGGTGAGATAATAGTCATTTAAGGTCCCGAGTTCCGAAAAAAAAAAAAAATAGAAGGGATATTTAAATAGTAACTTGTTTTTTTAGCACATGAAAAAAAAGCCTTAAATATGCACATCCATGTTTCTTTTCAGGCTGCCGCATTCATACCATTTCTATAGCCTTTCCCCACACACTGTGAATGGACAGCTAAAGAGAATAACTCACTCAAGTACCAGAGGTTGAATAGAAGGATACTAGGTTTGAATATCATTATTTTATGCATTGTCCTGCAAACTGTGGGTGTTTAATACATATTTGGTGAATAATGAGTGACATGGAATTTTAAGAGTCCCCATATGCTTGAAAATAATTTCCTCATTCATTCAACAGTGTTTCAAATGTGCTTTATGTGCATAGTTATAGTTAATTAAATAAGTTCTTTAAACTTCTCTACAACAAATTTTAATCTGTTGCAGTGAGGAATTATCCACTTAATTCTTGATATAGAGGCACAATGAATACTAGGTTAAGGGTCTTCTTATTTACTGTTATGCCTTGTTCAGTGCTTTTAAAATTAAACGTAGAAGCTTAAATTATTCACATTATTTTAGTTACAAGAAAGTCACAGGCTTTCCAGATCTTGGTAGGAGCAGTTTCAAAGTCTCCTCAAAGAAAACATATAGATGGGAGGTGTGATAGAGGTAATTTTTGATAAACATATTCTATTCCAATATTTTACCTGCCATCCATATGTATTGATCTGGAAAGCCTGTGACTTCCTTGTAACTAAATAATGCAGCAAAATGA